CCGCCTTGACCCCTCTTCAGACCTGGCCCCGGCCCACCTGCCTCCCACGGCTGGCACGGGGAAGGGCTGGAAGAACATGGTGAGCGGATGGCACAGAGACCCAAGGGTTGTTCCGTCTTTTGCCTCCTGGGTTCCCCTGCTCCTGCCTCTGGACTGAGGCTACCAGCCCCTGTCAATGGAGGCGAGTGGCCGGGGAGGAGCACCAGGCAGGGGGCAGGTCCCAGAGGGGAGGCAGGGGTCCTGGACCTGTTCGTGGGGTGGCAAAGGCAACAGGAATATTCCTTGTGAAACCGCCCAACTCGGGAACTCGGAGCCTTCACCACAGCCGGGCCACCGGCCTCTCCGCAGAGAGACTTCAGGAAGGAAAGGGAGACCCTGGAGGCTGGTCTGGCTACAGTCCTCAGCTGGGCGTGGGGACAGGCTGGCTGTGGTGCAGGTTTGATATCACCGAGAAGAAGGGCGGTGTTTGTTTTGCCTCCTCTTTGGTCTCCTTCGCCCCCTGAATAAGTTATCTTCTGGCCCAAGCATGTCGGACTCCAGGTCTTTAGTTTCATACGGCCTGAGGATTCGCCCCAAACACTGGAAAATGGTTCTGGAAGCCCAGAGAGGCCCTTCTCAGCCCTGGAGGGACATCAGCACCACCACAAAGACATTCTCCTCTGACCGACCAGAATGGAGGGCCCAGACCCAGGCTGACACCAGGCAGCAAGCTGGGGGTGGGGGGGCATCAGGAAGTGAGCCCTCCCACTGTGCCCCTGCGGGCAGCCCCTCGGGAGGGGAATCTCAGGGGCCGGTTCTTGCTGAGTTGAGAGGGCAGAGGTCAGGATTCTGAGGCTGAGGCAGCTGGAGTGTGTGAGACCGAAACCAAAGAGCAATGCAAGGAAGAGAGCCCAGCAGCCTGCAAGCGGCCCCTCGGTCCTGGCCGGGTGCTGCTCTGCACGTACTGGAAAGCACACCTACGTGGACCCAGAGGAACTGCTGGGAAAGAGCGGACACTCCCAGGTCCCCGCCCACAGCTGGGGACAGTCCGAGTTCCCTCCGGCCCCCACGGAAGGATCTCGAATACATGCGAGTTAGGTAGAGTCCTCACGAGGGTAATCGGCCCCAGACCAGGGCTTCTCAGCCTCCACAGATGGGCGATCCAGGCTGGGGAATCCTCACTGTGGGGCGCAGAGGGCCGCCCTGGGCCCGGGAGGATGTTCAGCAGCATCCTGGCCTCTGCCCCGTAGGTACCAGCAACAGCTCCCCAAACTGTCACAACTGAAGTTGCCTCCAGACGTTATCAGCGGTCCCCTGGGGGAGTTATCCTTGACCGAGAACCACTGCCCTGGACCCAAGTCTGCTCTGCACACCTCGAAGGGCTCAAACTGCCTCGAGCAACAGCCGTGCCCCCCCGACGGAGGTCAAGGCTCTTTTGAGGAATACAACACACACACCAGCTGGTCACGGCGGCCTCGGCCGGGCTGCAGGTCGGCGTAGATTTTAACAGTTCGCCTGAGGAAGTGATCCAGACGTCCATCACAGACGAACAGACACGGGCAATGGATACACACATCCAACGCAATATTAATCAGCCTTAAATAAGAAATCCTACCATTTGTGACACCTTGGGAGAAAGCAGAGCACACTGCTGCGCTGAGCGAAACAAGCCAGTCACAGAGGGCAAATGCGCAGGAACCCACTTATGGGACGCAGCCAAACTAGCTGAATTCGTAGAAGCCGACAATGGACCGGCGGTCGCTGGGGGCTGGGAGTGGGGGGCGGGGAGGCGTGGCTCCAAGGGTGCAAAGCGTCAGCTGCGCAAGGCGAGTAGGGGAAGTGTGCAGTGCAACGAGGTGCTCGAGTGCCACCGTGCCATTGCGCCTTCTAACACATGCTAACAGGGCGACCCCAGGTCCAGTGCTCGTACCACCAAAGACACACAGAAAGCCACCCGTGAAAGAACAGAAGGGCGTTTTGGAGAGGAGGGGCGTGTTTAGGGCTTTGACGGCGGCGACGGTTTCAGGAGTGGGTTTCCGGCCCCAACTCGCCTGCATGTGCAGATTAAATATGTCAAGTTTCCGTACGTTAAACAAAATCAGAAATTCAATTCACCATGATTCTTGCATCCAGCCAGCAAGGAGCACCGCTAGGCAAATCCAGAAAGAAAACAAAACAGAAAAGAAGAGTAGGAAGGGGGATGAAAATGGCAGAAGCTCTGAGAGATCCCAGGAGGCGTGGCCAAATGGCGGTTACCAGGCATGGAAACCGTCCCGGCTCTGCTCACGAGGCAGGCAGGGTCTTAGGGAGACGGATCGGCGAGCCGTGGCTCACGCGCCCCAGCCTGCGCCCACCGTCGGAAAGGTGCCCACAATCAAGTAGGAGATGCCAACTCACACACAGACCCTGGGAGAGGCCAATGCATCTCTGAATTCCGTGTGGCTCTCCTTCCCCAAGCTGCTGAGGCCGCCCCTGCTCTGCTTCCTAGGGACTCTCAGGACACGGCCAGAACCTGAACACGGGTCCATTCACTTGCCCAGTTATGGCTGTTTTGGTGTCTGGAATTTATCAGGTAAGTATTCGGGGAGGGGGGGCGGTGGGAGGCACAGGGTGGAGAGAGGCCTTGGAACTCTGCATTTAATAGTTGGGGCATTTTGGAGTCAGCAGGGGTCAAGGCTTTGCAAACACGAAGACCAGTGTACTCAGCACCGAGACCACCACCACCTTCCAAGCCTGGTCACCTTTCAGCCCAGCAGGTCAGCTCATTGGCCCTTTTTAAAACAGCGCAAGGAAAACAGTGGGTGTGGCCGGACCCTCCAGAGTTAGGCTGGGCCACCGCTTGTCTCGATGAGGGGCAGCATCTTCGAATGCTGACAACAGCCCAGGACTAAGGCAACAATTTCAGAAAAATGCCCACCTTGAACCTTAAACTCAGCTCCAGCAGACTTGAGGGTCCTCATGGGACGGACTTGAAATCCATAAAGTTTTTACAGAAACAAAACCTCCCAAACTCACTTCTCTGGGAGAACCAGGCAGTCTCTTTAATGGAGCACCGCTGTGCCTTGAGAGTTCACACTGGCGCCCTGGCTCATTTTTCACCCCATCGAGTACTTTATGGGCAAAGCCCGGCAGGTTACCCAAAGGCCCTCGGGCCTGCGAGAGAGAAGGGGTCACCGGGCCAAGTCTAACAGGACCCAGGGGCTGTTAATTGGACTCTCTCATCAGTTCAGCTTGGAAACTGAGCAGGGAAGTTGCCTTTTTCCTGGGGTTTCTAATCTAAATGGTGCTGACATGCTCCAGTGGGAATAATCTGAACAGTTCAATGGATGTGGAGGATTTTAGATCTTGAAATGTTTTCTACTAAAAGAGGAGAGCTGGGAACTCAGAAGGATGGGAGGCGGGGATCCCCTCTGCTGGTCTGCAAATCTGACCTGCCCTGGAGCAGGTGGAGTGGCCCCGCCTGGACCCTCCTCCAATGGTAGCGAGGCCCATCCCTCCAGGGGCTGTGGGAGGGTCTCCGCCCATTTCACCACCAGACCAGAGATTCTGGGGCCTCACTCCCGGCCACACCCACGCAGCAGGCACAGGACCTCCTGTTTAGTCTTTACCTCGCAATGCAGGGAGGGGGTCGGGCTACAAAAACATTGTGGCTGCGACTGTCCCCAAGCTTGAAGATCTTTACCACCTCCTGCAAAGATGCATTTTCATCACGCTGTTATCTTCAGTGTTGCTTTAGGAATAAATGAAGTTTTATGCATAAAAATAGAAATGGGGACGCAAGAGCTGCTCTTTGCCATTGAGGGTTTAAAATGCAGCCACGAACACTTTTGTCAAATGCAAGAGGATGTAATTCAACAAGTGCTTCTCTCTCCAGAGACTAAAATAACCTCGATGAAAATTATGCCTCGGTAGAATTCTGTCCCCCATCCGACTAATTACTTGTGAATAATCACATCTCTGGTTTCTTTCAATTATATTCTAATTGCACACCTTTTGCTCTGGTTGATCAGGCAATGAACTAATGAACAACTATTACTGAATTTAATTAACACCATTATTTCTGTGGCCTTTCTGTCTGTTGTGAGCATGGAAATTCACGATCCCAGGGCTGGGACCTGAGGAAGCCTGCCTTGAACCCTGCAGAACAGGTTCTCTCTCCTGTTGTCCTGGAATCAGGCAGCCAGTGTGGGGAACAAAGACCTACAGACGCTGCCAGCATTCACGGGAAGCCTTTCCTAATAATAGCACCAATATCCAGAAAGGTTACCTTTTCTGCACATGAGCAATCTGCAATGTCGTGCTTTTTAAGTGAGAGGGGTAAGTGAGCTACAGGGGGAGTCAATTACAGTGCCATTCATAATTTATTCCAAGTGTAATAAAGAATGATCAGGTTTCATACCTGTTTACTCTCTGAAAGATAACGCTTGTGGCTTATCCCAGTGGCAGAATACAAATATGTTTCCAAGCCATTTATCTCATCTTGACATTCGAAATACCCGAAGTTCCTTATTTCCCCACCATTGTGGTCTCTGCTTGGAAATTTGAGCTCACCCTCAGAAAAGAAAAGACCATTCTTATTGGCCTAACTTAAATCATTCTATTTTAACTCCGTCAAGGCAAACCATACATATTCTCCTAACGCATCAGGAAACGAACAGGAATTTGTTTTTAAAGACAGATGATTGCAAATTTACAGCACTCAGAATATTTAACTCTAAAAAATGCACTCCATTACTACATGTGGATACAAATAACCCAACTCTCTGGAGCACTAATAAATGTTTGCAAATTCAGACATGTGTCACGTGTAAATTACATTCATCCGGTATGCTTCTCCCCGCCCCACATTTCAAACACTGAAATAAATTACAGGGTGTGAAAGTCTCTTCCGAGTCTCGAGGGAACAACTAGGAACAAATGATTTATTTATGATGCACAGAGAGCCACGGAACGGCGCTGAACAACGCCTCCGATTCTCCGAGCCGGGCGCGTGCCCCCGCTCCCTGCCCAGCCCCGCGTACCTCGTATCTGCCGGCCGCCCGCTCAGCTGTCTTCAGGCCTTGATACATATGGATGACACACACCTTGGCTCTTCTCTGGGAGGGGAACCGGTTCTTCTTCACAAAATCCATGACCAGCACATGGTTTTTCAACTCCGTGCTAAAGGCTTTTATCTGGAAAGCGCGGTGCACGGCGGTGTCCGCGTGGCGGGCGGCACACCTGTGCAGGTGCGTTTTCGCAGGAATTCCAGGGTGCTGCATGATACTCGCAATCTTGTGACTTCGGCTCGCGAGCCTGGCTGACACAATTTTCTTTGTCTCATCCAGGTATCGAGTGCAGCAGGAGGGACTTGGGAAGGGCCTGGCTCCGACCTCGCCTGGTGTTTTCTAGCTCCGAAGCTCCTGGTCCCCGTACCCCAGCTGCTGGGGGCACAGGGGGTGCACCTGGGACTCTGCAGGGTAACCCTTACGGGCCATGAGAAGGCTCCATGCTGCTGTCGATCAGTCCCCAGCGCTTCCGCCTGCGTTCTCTGGTCACCCAAAGACTTCTCTGATTTCAAAGACACATTTCCCTTGCCTGCCAAATGCACTTTCCGAAGGCCGAGTTTGCCCAGTTACGGTGAGGGTCCAGGAGTGTGCAGTCTCAGGCCCTCGAATCCCGGTGAATTACTTACAGCTGGACAAAGGAACCCAAAGTGCTCACGGCTGCTTCTCACGACTCCTGCTTTCTCGTGCCAGGATGGAAAGAAACAAGTGCTGAGTCCTCCTGCAGCACAAAGGGTGACCTCAGCCCCAGAGAAGATAAGAAACACATCCAAGTGACAAAGGGAACTCGGTACAGACGCTGGGGTGGCAGCGGGTGGGTCCGAGAGGGACAGTCTGTGTGAGGAGCTGTATGCCACCCCATGGGGGTGATGCGCAGGCTGACACAGAGTTCTGTCCCCAGCCAACCACGAGAAGTCCTCTCGCCACCTGGCCCCCACGTTCCATGAAGAAAAACTGAAATATGAGGTCTGTCCGTGAAGTATCCAGCCAAGCACTCTGAAAAACAGACACTTCGTGATGAAGTTACAAGGTACGAGAAACACTGTACACAGGACAATGACCTCAGTGCCCTTCAAAGTGGGCATCTTGAGACCTCCCCCAGTTCTCCCATTCTCCAGCAGCTGCCCTGTCATAGTTTCCTGAATCTCACTGATGGTCTGAAATCTGTTCCCTTTCAGAGGTGATTTTATTTTGGGAAAAGCCAAAAGTTGCAGGGCACCAAGTCTGGGCTGTAGGGGATCTGAGTCACCTGGGTGACTTGATGTTCCACCAGAAAACTCTACATGAGACGTGATAAGCACATTGTGGTGATGAAGCTGCCAGCCACCAGTTGCCTACAGCTGTGTCCTTCTGAATCATCCAAATAGTTTCTGCAGAGGAATGTTCAAGTTTAATGCAAAATTAGGCACAAATTCATTGCTCTATTTGCTCATTTTTAATGCAATGGTCACATAGCACACATGCTCACTCAGTGGCGTCTACCACCCCGACTGACTAGCACAGTGAAGTCATCCTTGTTCACACATGCGCAGTCCAGTCCCCTCTCCTTGGCTGTCAGGTTACATTAATGTCACACAAACCATTCTCATTACACTAACAATGGCTGGACTTTTTCTGGACGGACCTCATCATAATACCTGCCACTCACGGGGGTGTTGGGAAGACCAGGGGAGCAAAATCGTGAGCAAAGAGCTGTGAGCAGTAAAGTCACGCACATCGTCATCATCTCCAAAGCACCGTTGTGTGCTTTCTGCCCAGAGTAGTTTGCACCAGGCTCTCTCTGCACAAGTAAATGCAGCGCAGATTCGCAGGGTGCTGGGAATGACTGGCTTCTGCATCTCAGAGCAAATGCACAACCTGCCCCTTCCTGTTTTCTTTCTCTGTTTTCTGTTCATGGTTTCCTTTCATGCCTGTGAACCCAGTATGCAGAGGTGGAAACGACAGGCCTTGGATTAAGGGACTGGGCCAGGAGAGGGCAGATGGCCAGCACCTGGGTCCAGGCAACAGCCATTCTCTGCAGGGAGCTCCCTCCGACTTTAGTCAAAGATGCCCCTCCCCCCATTCATTCTCCCTCCCCGTGTCGAAAGCCACATGGGCAAGAAAATGAAGCCATGATTGCAGACGACCCTGCTGAATACAGACCATTGGTCCTTGGCCCAGAACGATGCCCTTCCTGCTACAGGCAGGGGCTCTGCCCAACACACTGGGGGTGGGGGCGGCTGGGATCTGGCAGTGGGAGGCCAACCGGCCTCCACTGGAGGTGACGGAAAGGTTGAAGTTTCGAACGAAATCAGAGTAGGAGACAGAAAGACTTTGGAGTGAATCAGGCCGATACTTTTGTTCAACAGCAGACCCCTGAGACTAGATGCCTGGCCAAGACCCCACAGCAAAGCGGGGCCTGCTGCCCCTCGTGCAGGGCACTGTCCAGTTCTGCCTGTGGTTCTCCCAGGGGTGAGGACACTATCAGGAACCAATGGGTGGGTGCGCGGTTCCCATGAAAACGCAACATAACCAAGGTTCAAGACTGAGCGGCTGCTGGCTACTGCCCAGGGCACCCCCCGGATGAAGACAGCCAGGGCGAAGGTCAGACAGGGAAGAGGTCAGAATGAGACAAGGACAGCGAGGGAGGAGGGCAGCTGCCAGGGCTGGGAAAGGGCTGACTTCCGGCATTCCTTCCACCTGCTGCAGGCCCGGACCTGGGTGGGGGGCCCGTGAGACTTCCATAAGCTGTAGATTCAGGAAACGATTCAAACGTGCAGGTTTTCAAAGCCAGATACCAAAAAATAGTGGACAGAGAAAGTTCCAGGCACAGCCCCAGGTGAGCTAGTCCTCACCCAAAGGACAGAAAGTCAGTCACATCTACCATGCCAAGAGAATGGCACCAAACCTGTACTGCCCAAGGAGAAACTTCCGACCTGCCCCGAGCCCTGTTCCTCCCACCGCCACCCCAGGGGAGCTGGCCTGCCTTATAAGACACCCATCTCTGACCCCTGCCGACTGGCCAGAGGTTGGGCACTTGGCTTGGCCAGAGCCAATCGCAGTCCATCCTGGAAGATCATGGTCCTAGAACTGAACAGAGGTGGCTGGCTGAGGCCTTGGGGTGGAGCACGCCAGCAGGCTGGTGGAGGTGGCAGCTGTCACAGCGAGAGACTGGAGTACGAGACTGGGCCTGAGTGGGAGCCTCCTGGTGGTTCTAGAGCCCTGGCTCCTGCCTGTGGGGCCAGTGACAGACTTGAGCATCTTTATGTCCTTTCTCCTTCAGGCTTACGCTACTTGAGTTGGATTTCTGTCACTTGCCATCCACAGGGTCTGGACTAGTCCTTGGAAATGCATTCATTTATCAAACAGAGAGATGTGACATGCTTCTGTGTGGCAGGCATGGTGCAAGCACCCAAGACACAGATGAAAGGGACACTCCATGAGGAGTCCAGGCTCCGCAGAGGGACAGCCCTTGGGGGCGAGCAGTTGCTCAGACCACGCAAGGGCCTCCTCTGAGGAAGGTCGCTGCGGGCTGAGAGGCCCTCCCACGGGAGAGTAGGGAAGGACCGCTGGCGTGCTGCCACCCCCACCCCTGGCTGGCATTCTGCAGCAAAGGTCAACCACCAGGCTTCACTCCTCCCTCTCTGCGCATACACCTTGGCACAAAGCAGTCACAACCGAGAACGGGCAGGCATTCTCTAATGTGTGTCCACCACAAAGACCATCTCTCTTTGTGGAAAACAACTCTCAGAATCCTTCGCTGTCCTTATTTAAACTAAAGAACTCAGTCAACAGCAGGAGTCGTATCTCTGACCTTATTCATGTCCTGCAGAAGGTCCTACTTAATTTACCTAAATCGGTCCCTGGGGAGATGGACAAAAACTGTCACATTGTCAGCGAGTGCAATGCAATGACTCCAACACAAACGAGCCGTGAATGTGGAGTGTGTCGACACACACATGAAATTAAGCTCTTTCTTCTCCCTGGCCCCTGGTCCAAAAGGCAGGGCCGTGCAGGAGATGCGGGACCGTATTTAAATAATGAATTATTCACAAAGAAAAGGGACTTGCAGGTACCCAACGCCAGAAATGCATGCCTCTGAGTTCTTAATCTGTCCTCCAAGGCAATCGCATTTACGACTCTGAAAGATGCCCTAATTATGCAGCTTCAGAGCTGACTTGCTGCAGGGCCTGCGAGGATCCAGGAAGCATTAGGCAACAATAGAAACAGATGACTATGAATTTCTGCATTCGTAATTGGGTTTCCTTTTCGGGGGAAACGACATTTTTATTTATGGGTCCCCGCTCGGGAGGGAGGTGGCAGCTGAGTTCCTCCCCTCAGAGACTCAGCGCCTGCTGTGCCGGAGTCCCCACCACCTTCCCAACGTGCGACATCCACGGGCCGCCTGGCGCTGGACCTGGGCTGGACTTCCTCCTGCTCTTCCTCCCCACCCCCTGGGGTTCCGGAACCAAACCAAAGGACTGGGGCAAGCACGTGGCTGAGGAGGGAAGGCACGCGCCTTCACTGGGGTTAAGAGAACACAAGTCTGCCTATCGAGGCCCTTGCCCTCAACCTTGGCTGCCCTTGGCAGTGACCATGATGCTTTGGGGGAGGGGCAAGCGCATTGTCAGGTGCCCAGGAGGCAGACGGAAGGGGACGCTGTCATCTACCTCTTCCTAGATGTGCACCTTTTTCTCTTCTACACACGGGAAACTTTTCCCTTTTGTTTATATAATGTTCACCACCTATGATGGTCTGATATTTTTTTAACTTCTCAAAAAACATGGCACAAACTGTATGGCACAGCCACCCACAGGGTTAATTTCCACCCCCTTTTTAAAAAAATTATATTTTATTGATTATGCGATTAGTTGTCCAAATTCTTCCCCCTTTGCCCCTCTCCAGCCAGCACCCCCTCCCTCAGGCAGTTCCCCCCCACATCCATGTTCATGGGTCACACATGCAAGTTCCTTGGCTGCTCCATTTCCTGTGTGGAACTTTACATCCCTGTGGCTGTTCTGTAACTGCCTGTTCATGCTTCTTAATCTCCTCCCCTCACCACCCACCCCTCTGGCAACCACCAACATACTCTCCAAACATCATGATTCTGTGTCAGTTCTTGTTTGCTCAGTTTGCTTTTGAGATTTGATGGTTGACAGATATGAATTGAAATTTTAAGGAAACATCAAACTCAATTTGGTGCTTACATCCTGGGACAGTTTCACCCAAAAGGACAC